TGGTGAGTGCTTGCTGCCTACTGGTCCCCTGACCTTTGCCCTCTCCCCGAACCCCAAATCTCTGGCCTCACAGCCCTCAAACTCCACAGGGCCACCCAGATCAAGACCTACTCCTGGGACAATGCTCAGGTCATCCTCGTGGGGAACAAGTGTGACCTGGAGGATGAGCGTGTCGTGCTTGCGGAGGACGGCCAGAGGCTCGCCGATGACCTTGGTGAGTGCCCGGCTGGGCTGTAGGCCCTGGACTTCCCAGAACAAGCCCCCATCCGCACGCTCAGATCCCAGGTCCAACCACAGTCTCCAACCCTTTGCTCTTTGAGGATCTGGCCAGAAAAATGCCCACATGTATGCCACCTTCTCCACTTAATTCCAGGGGGTTCACCCATTGATCCCCCTCCCTGACCGCTGCCGCCCTAGGAACCCAGACTCAGAAAACTGTTTCTGGACATTTACCCCACAAACATCCTCACCCACGTGGGAAGCGGCGAGTGTGTCAAATTGCAGTTCTGCTGGTGGCAGGGGAACCTTGGCAGCCTCCCAGGTGTCTCGCAGGGGAGGGAGCAGCGGCACATAAAGCATATTCACGTGGCAAAATGCTGTGCGGCCATGAACATGGCAAGGTTTCTGGGTTGTGTGGCTAAGAGGTAAAAGCAAACTGCAGAACAGTGGCTGTGGCTGCTTCCTTTAGTTCAGGCAGCGGTCAGCAAACATTTGCTTAAAGGGCCAGAGAGGAAATGTTTTTGGTCGTCGGGCCTCTCACAACTATTCAATTCTGCCTGAAAGCAGCCATAGACAATACATCAAGGAATGAGTATAACTGCCAGGAAAACGTTATTTACAAAACAGGCCACGGGCCAGATTTGGCCTGCATTCTGAAGTTGGCCAACACCGGCATTCGTGTATAAAAAGGATGAGAATAAGAACATATACTTGAGTTTGCCTAAAGCATCGGTTCTCAACCTGTGGGTCGCGACCCCCTTGGCGGTCGAACGACCCTTTCACAGGGGTCGCCTAAGACCATCCTGCATATCAGATATTTACATGACGATTCATAACAGTAGCAACATGACAGTTATGAAGTAGCAACGAAAATAATTTTATGGTTGGGGATCACAACATGAGGAACTGTATTTAAAGGGCCAGAAGGTTGAGAACCACTGGCCTAAAGGCACTCTGGGAGGATACGGAAGGATCTAGTCACAGACGTGACTTTTGTGTCTGAAAACTGGGTGGCTGGAAACCAGGGTGGGAGGGGGACTCTTCAGTTTATCTCTTTGGAGCAGGTGATGAATGAATTATCTATTCAAAACTTAAGCTCAATGAAGACCTTGTCCTGGAATATTCTAGTATTCTAGACTCTCCCAGGACTTTCCTTAAAGGGACGTGGTGTAACTACTGTAGGGTAGGGCGTGTTAAGGACCCAGAGTCAAGCTAGAATCCGGGTCTGCAACCCACTGCGGTGTGACCGAGGGCACAGGGTCTCCCCTCTGTGCCTCCCTTTCTCACCTAGGAAACAGGTGAAACCCTGTCTACTTCATAGGCTATTAGGAGGATTAAATAGGCAAACGCTGGCCTCGGTTGAACATTAACTTGTATTATTTCTCAGTCGCTTTGTGATCTTGTACCGGTGACTCCAGCTCCTGGGTCTGCACTTCCCTATGTGTCGAATGGAGATTAATAACAGTCCACCTCACTGAGTTATCGGGAGGACTGAATGAGCTACGACATGTGAAGCAGTGATAGGCACATCTGAGTGTTAGCTGGCATGACTGGGAACTACTGTTGATGCTTGCATAGAAAACCCTAAGCACCTGATGGCCCACCAAGTCTGAAATATTTACTCTCTGGCCCTTTCCAGAAAAAGTCCTAGGACCCCTGGACTATAATGGTCCCCTTTCTCTTGTTTCTTGCCATCAATTTGTTGGAGAAACCGGGTCTTTGTTCTATGGAACATCTTCCATTTGAGGTCTGGCTCTTTGCTCCCTCGTGGCGTCGCTTAACCTGCTCCTCTGTCCCTCGTGTTTTCTGGGAACTCTAGCCTGGGCTCACTTCCTGGGGAGTCCTGTTGTGGGCTAGGGCACTTGTGGGTGTCGCCCACACCTTCTTGCAGAGACATCTAGTGACAGGGCTGAGGGGAGACTTCCCACTCTGTCATTAAGTTTAAAATACCAGAGTACAAAGCAGAAGATGGAATTTAATCTTAATTTTGTAAAAAAAACCAAAAAAACTTAACCCCCCCCCCACAACCTACAAACCCAAACCTAACAATTATGTATTAGTATTTTTAAAATTAATTTTTTAAAATATATTTTATTGATTCTTTACAGAGAGGAAGGGAGAGAGATAGAGAGTTAGAAACATCGATGAGAGAGAAACATCAATCAGCTGCCTTCTGCACATCTCCTACTGGGGATGTGCCCCCGCAACCCAGGTACATGCCCTTGACCGGAATCGAACCTGGGACCTTTCAGTCCGCAGGCTGACGCTCTATCCACTGAGCCAAACCGGTTTCGGTTAAAATTAATTTTTATTGATTTCAGAGAGGAAGGGAGAGGAAGAGAGAAATAGAAACATCAGTGATGAGAGAGAATCATTGATTGGCTGCCTCCTTCAGGACTCCTACTGGGGATCGAGCCTGCAATCCAGGCATGTGCCCTTGACCGGAATTGAACCTGGGCCCTTTGAGTCTGCAGTCTGATGCTCTATCCACTGAGCCAAACCGGCTAGGGCTATATTTGTATTTTTAAAAGTAGAAAGCTACATATCAAACACCAATAGTAATTGTCTCTGGGTGATGAAACTACAAATGGCTTTCATATTTGTCTTGATACTTTTCAGCAGTTTCTAGCTTTCTCTAGCAAATATTTATGATGAAAAAAAGATATTTAAAAAAAGGATCTCAGATTGAGAGAAGCCACACATATTTGAAGGAAATGCCAGGTTTGCCCAGGAAGACAGTGGGGTGCCATTGATGATCACTAGGTTCAGAGTAGAAGGTCTGAGTTCATATCCTGCCTCTAGCATTCATTCATCATTCATTCATTCATCATTCATCCATTCATCCAGTCATTGAGCAAGTAGTTCCCTAATGCCTGCTCTGTGCCAGGCACTGGCTGCAGAGTGGACAAGGCAGACAGAAATCTTGCCCTCTTGGAGCTGGTGGTCTAGTAGCAGAGACGGATAGGAAACCTATAATCACAGACCTAACTATTTAATTACAATTAAATTTTTATAGAGCAGCATGACAAGTGCCGGGGCAGAGGCCCACTTACCCTGCGCTGTGTGTAATGTTTGTTTGAATTCCTGGCCCACCTTGGCAGGTGTGGCAGGTGGGGACACATCGGGGACCTTTCAGGGATAGTTCCCTGCAGGCAGATTCTTAACCAAACTTTTAGGGGTGCAGGACACCCTTATTTTCAGGTTGACTGGTACTTTTTGTAGCTGAGGGACCTTAAGCAAAGCATTTGTTTCACCTCCCACCTTTGGGAGGGCAAACAAGTTACGACGGTCACTAAGAATATACTCAAAGCTACCTCACATCCTCCCACCCCAGGAGTCAGCCAGCCAAGACCCAAGGTGGTACAATAGGAATATTTATTATTCTTTCTTTCTTTCTTTCTTTCTTTCTTTCTTTCTTTCTTTCTTTCTTTCTTTCTTTCTTTCTTTCTTTCTTCCTTCCTTCCTTCCTTCCTTCCTTCCTTCCTTCCTTCCTTCCTTTCTCTCTCTCTCTCTCTCTCTCTCTCTCTCTCTCTCTCCTTCTTTCTTTCTTTCTTCTTTCCTTCTTTCTATTAAAAATATTTATTTAATATTAACTGTTGTTCAAGCAAGGCAGCCTGGGTGTGAACCCTGGCCCTGCCACGTGTTACCTGTGTGAATTTTAAATGAGCGACTTTCCCTCTCTGTGCCTCAGTCTCCTCATCTATAAAATGGGTTATAATAGGATGAGCCTCAGAGCATCATTAAAGATGTTTATGCAAAGCGCTTAGAAAAGTGCCTGACACATAGTAAACATGATATAAGCACTTATTATTATTATTAATTATTATTATTATCACCATCACCATTTTTAGTGCATTCTATAGGCCAGGAACTTATCACACACTCTCCACAAACACTGGGGAACCCACAGGGACTGCAGACTGGTAGCCGCCCAGGCTGAAGCCAGTCTTCAGCTATGTTTTACTTGGTCTGAAGCACATTTTCCAGAACATTTCTAAAGTCCAGATAAATACCTAGTTTTGTGGGCAGCCTTGCGGTACCTTCCTGGGCAGTACAATTGCATGGAAGGTAAGTTGAAGCCACCCGTGGGTACCCATCCCTCTAGGCACCACAATGTTACTACCTGGACTCTTGCAGCCACTGCCCTGGGACAAAGAGATTCTTAGGGTAGTTCAGAGCAGGGCTTCTGTCACAGGTTTTTCGTTTGTTTGTTTTTTATTTCAGAGAGGAAGGGAGAGGGAGAGAGAGATAGAAGCATCAACGATGAGAGAGAATCATTGATCGGCTGCCTCCTGCATGCCCCCCACTGGGGATTGAGCCTGTAACCTGAGCAGGCGCCCCTGATGGGAATCGAACCCGGGACCCTTCAATCCGCAGGCCGACACTCTATCCACTGAGCCAAACCAGCCAGGACTATCACAGGTTTTTAGGAACATGGTTCCCATTTTATAGACAAGCCCACTGAGGCTCAGAGAGACTAAGGCACTCACCAAGGTCCCATAGCTGCATAACAGACAGAAGTGGGCTTGGAACCCAGATTTGGATGATGCCACAGCCCAACCTATGCCTTGCAGGGTCTCACAGGTGTCCCCACTTATGTCCGTCCAGGTTTCGAGTTCTTCGAGGCCAGTGCCAAGGAGAATATCAACGTGAAGCAGGTCTTCGAGCGCCTGGTGGATGTCATCTGTGAGAAAATGAATGAGTCCCTGGATCCCAGCTCCAGCCCGGGCAGCAATGGGAAAGGCCCCGCCTTGGGGGATGCCCCACCTCCCCAGCCTAGCAGCTGTAGCTGCTAGAGAGGGTACCCAACCCCCACCCACCCCCTCCTGCCTCGGCAGGGAATGTGACTGAGGCATGAGCCACAAGGGCTATTTTCAAGCTCAGGGCGCCCCCCTTCCCTCCTGTCAGCTGTCAGCTGCCCCTCACTGCCCGCATGGCTCGTTTCCTCACGATAGCCGCCAGCTGCCCAAGCAGCCCCTGTCGCAAGCTCCAGACCCCAGGACTCTGCATGAGAGGCAGGGTCTGGGGATGTTGACATGCACGCGCTTGCTGCCTTCCGGTGTTTCAGTGGGCGCACATGGGCAGCCTGTGGGGCTTCCACAGTGCCTTCTGGGTTCGAGCCATTGTCCACATCCGTCCTGTGCTGGGCCTTGTCTGGAGTTCACGAGCTGCTGAAGGGGGTTAGCCTTCTTCCTCCCGCCATGCGGGTTCTCATCCTTGGAGATGGGGAAGGAGGCTCCTTGCTCGGGGTCCCCTGCTCTGATCCCGAGCCTGCCCGTCGATCTCTGATCTCAAGGCTCCAAGGTGGGGAGGTGACTTTGGCCCTGGTAGACCCCTCCCTTCTGGCCTGCAGATCCTCTGTCTGTGAGAACAGTATTAAAGCAGCTTTACCTGTTGGGGAGGGATAGGGGGTCAGAACCCCTGGCTTCGGGGACCCCGAAGTGCCTTCTGAGTTTCCCCAGAATTCCGCATCACCACGACCCTGCCACTGTTTTGGCTGATCCATGGTGCCCCTGATCCGGGATTGAGTTCTGGAATGAGGTACCGTGTTAGGCCAGGCAGAGAATCGCCAACCCCCTGGCCTTACCGTTTGGGGCTTTTTGCCAGGAGTTAACCTCAGAGCCAGGAGCCCCGGCCCTCCTGCCCAAACCTGCCTCCCTGGGCCCATTTGGTGATGTTTTAAGCAAGGTCTTTCCACATCTCACATCCGGCTAGAGAAGGAAATTGAGCAACGTTCCCATAGCCCTCCCTTGCTGGTGACTTTCTGCTGTAAGGGCTTCTTTCACCTGAGCACCGGTTGAAGACCCAGGGTCCGCGTCCTGAGCCATGTCATCGGTGGGGCCCAGAGATGGGACCTCTTTTTGCTAATGGAGGAGTCACTCTCAGGAATGTTTGGGGTTTGGGCTGGAGGAGTGAGAGGGTAGGGTTGTGTAACTACGACTGCCTCTTGCACTTCATGATACAGCTTGGGAGTGGCAGGCCGATGGGGGATGGGCTGGGGTCAGTCTCCCTGCATGAGGCTCGGGTTCCCAGCTGCCCCGGGCTCCTGCTGCGGGAGGTTATGTGCAGTTTGGGGATCTACCCTCTTCACACGCACCCCGTACAGCTCAGTGGCCCTTTCTGCCCTGGAACACCAGCCGACACCCCATAACTTGACAGACACTGTGAGGACAGCCTACACCGATAGTTTGTGTCCCCAATCCTACTGTCCCCGCCCCTGCTGGCAAGACGACCTCCTGTAGCCTTAAAGGTCTCCGCCTCCTCCGCTGCGGTATGGGGAAGGCCTGGTTCAAGTTTAACAGTAGCTCCCGCCTTTCTGGAAACTCTAGATAGAACCCGTTTCTAGAGGGCCCTACGTGCCCCGTACCAGGGTCTGCCCTGAGACTGTCAGAGTGAGGATATCTTTGTACACCAACAAGTTAAACGACTGGCGAAAGGACCAAGCTTTGGGAGACACACAAAGTGAGAAGATCTGAAATCAGAAATGTTCCTTGCTTTAACATAAAAGTGAAATTTAATTTAGTTAAAAGTCTTCTTAAGTTGCACCACGGGCTGTCAAGATGTCACTGGCCGGTCCATTCTCGCCGAGCTGCTGCCAGGAAAAACGGTGGGTCAAGAGGGACCAGCCTATTACCACGGCCGTGTGATGCAGCGCTGGCCGCATCGTGTATCTGACTCGGTCTAAGCTTTCTGTGTGCACAGAGTTTTTCAACCGTTCAGCTTCAAGTAACAACTGAGACAGCTGCCGCCGGGTTCTCTCAAGACTGGGACGCACGTAGGAGCAGAATATGTATTTTTGTTTCTGCTAAAAATAATGCAAGTTTTTATTTCATGACGTTTGGGGGGGAGTGTTCCCTCAAGATAGTCTCTGGGGAACAGAAATTGATGTCCTCCCAGGTCACTGAGGGGAGGGAGGCTTGTTGAGTTTACAAACAAAAATAAACCAAAGGCTGTGGGAAAACCACCTCCCAGCTGCCGGGAGCCGGGCCGGGAGCCCTCGCCTGAGCCTGGGTCCTGCCTGGGTGCTGTCCCTTCTTACCATTTGCTTTTAGCAACTTGTCTTTCCACAGGCAGTTCCTTGGGAAACTGCCATGATTGCTGTGGTGTAGGGTTTTGCTTTCTTTTCTTTTTTTCCTGGCTTCTCTGGGGGTCATATTCTTGTGTCATTCTCTCCAACTAAACTTAGAAAAACAAGCAAAGGGTGAAATTTGGTCTCCGTGTGGAAGCGCTAATTCTGCTAACTGGCTTCTTCTCCCCCATGATCCCAAAACACTACGGAGAGAGCCCTCGGCCTGCTCACTTCTGCCCTGGATGTGGCTCTCCTGCGTAAGCGATTCTTTGATGACCATTGGAAAGACGTTGCACTTTTCTCCACACGAAAAAACAATTAAAGCCATTGTGCCCAGATGCAGTTGTTTTTTTATTTCCATTAGTGAAATGCGACTTCCAGGAAGAGGGCAGTTGACTCACAGCCAAGCAGAGGGTTGAGGGCCATGCGGTTGTAGCAGATCCCGCGTGAGTCCAGGGTGGCTCGGGCCTGGGGCTGTCTAGCGGGAACTCCAGGCCACCGCTTTGGCCCTGGAAACTGCCTCTGCCTGGAGGGCAGAGAGGATAATGTTGCTCCAACTAATGCAACTAGGAAGGCCTGTCCCCCACCACAGCCCCCAGGGGGCGCCTGTGAGCACCCGAGTCTGGTCACATCCCTCTGCTCAGAACCCTCCATGGCTCCCACCCGCCTGGGAGTAAATGCCAAAGTCTCCCTGTGTCCTACAAGGTGCTGCCTGACCTCATCAGCCACCTCCTTGCT